ATATTAGATTGCCTGGTCCTCACTTGAATGGGATTATTTATTTATTGTTAAGGTATATTTACTGTTCTTTCCGCCCCCTCAGATCTCTCCACTTTCTTTCTTATGTAAGTAAGTTAGAAATATATTAAGGGGAATAACATTTCTTTCTTCATCATCATTTTAGTGTTTCCAGCAATGTGTTCAGAGGAGTCTGAGCAATTCTTCTATCTAACACAATGTCAATAAGTAGCTTATGTAACTTAAGAGCAGTGTGCTAGCGAATATGTTTGTTAATGCTTTATTATAAAGCAGCTCCAAATTAGATTTGACAGCAGAATAAGAGGTTGTTGCTGGATGTGGTGGCATGGGACTTTAGCCACAGCACTTTGGAGGCAGAAGCAGATAGATCTGTGAGTTCCAAGCCAGCTGGTTAAAAAGAGTTCCAGGTCAGCCAGGGCTGCATAGTAAGACCTTGTGTCCAAGATAAGAAGTTGTACTTATAGAAAATAGAGGTCTAGGCTAAGACTCTCATCAACTTGATTCCAGGATTGTGCTGATAAATGAAAAGAAATATCAGACAGCAGAGGACACCGGTTTTGAGTTGAGTTGACTTCCACAAGCTCCCAGTGAGACTCTCTGGGGTGGAGTTCACGCTCCTTCTTCCAGTTGATCAAGAAATTGTCTGATGAGGGGGCAACGTCCCTGACCCAGGACAATCCAAAAATACATAAGTTTTTAGAACATTGAATTCAAGCTATGAGAGCTGAAGACCAATTACTGGACCCTAGTCATGGTGACAGCAAAACTTAGCAAAAATATCAAAGATTTTCTAAAGCCGTGACTCTTGAAGAGCTCCAGTCTCTGCTGTATGCTTCAAGTTTTTTTTTTTTATTTTTGTTTCGTTTTGTTTTTTTTGTTTGTTTGTTTCATTCTTTTTATCTCATCTTACACTGGGCAAACAAGTCCAGGACTTTTTAAAAGTATCTTTTGCCCATGTCCTACTTATAACTGACTTCGTAAGTGAGGGAACATTTTGATGTGAGTTTCATCAAATTTTGATGCTCATTTAATCAAATATTCCCGTTTTGTTACAGGACATGGAACAGTGAATTGGCTGAATACCTGTTTTCCCATTCTGGAGCTTTCAGTCTAGAAAAGCAAACAGACATGATGCAGTAATTAAGGCTTAGGAGTAAAGGTTTTGTTCAGAATCAGAATCAGAACATATATCCACTGTGCACCTGTTACATAGATGGTACTTCTCTCTCTCTCCCCCTCCCTCCCTCCCTCCTTCCCTCCCTCTCCCTCCCTCCCTCCCTCTCTCTCTCTCTCTCTCTCTCTCTCTCTCTCTCTCTCTCTCTCTCATTTTGTATTTTGAGACAGGGTTTTTCTATATACCCCTGGCTGCCCTGGAGCTAGTGCTGTAGACCAGGCTGGCCTCAAACTTACAGATATCCACCTGCCTCTGCCTCCCGGCTGCTGGGATTAAAGGCGTGTCCTCCCACCATCAGTCGGCTGATGGTACTCTACTACATCTTTGAACATCAATAAGGAAAACAAGGATCCTCCCCTTCTCTCTGTCCTCCAAGGCTACGACACTAAGTAACAAATGCAGAAACACACAAATACCTGGTGTGCATTTAGAAAGTAGTAAATGCTGTAGAAAAAGATGAAAAAGTTGTTAAGAGGACAACTACACCAAAAAGCTTAGTAGACAGAGAAATACTAGGTTTAAGGCACTCAAACATCCTTAGAACTGACATGTCAGCCAAGCAGGGGCCCCAGATAAATGGCAAAACTGGTCAAGTTAGGAGGTTGAGTTCTTACTGGCCCTGGGGGGTTTGAACTTGTAAGATGATCTGATCTGAAGTCACCTTGTGTTTTAAACCACAGACTGGTGTGACAGTTTTTGTATTTTTGATTTCTCATTCTGCCAGTGACTAGGAAAACCTATCAAAAGCAAAGAACAGTGAATGGGAGAGGAGAATGATGGGACGCTTGTTGTAGTCCAAGTGTGGTGATGGTGGCTGGGACTGGCATGTTTCCATAACTTAACAATGATAGCTGAGAAAAGACAGAAACTCTATAGGGCCTTAGTTTTCCACTTTCTTACATTCAGAATAAGTCAGTGCCTACCCAACTTTTCTTTGACCTCTCATTCGGTACAACCTATTTGAAATGTTCATATTTTTCTGTTGTTAACTACCCAGTTAGTGTCTTCTCTGTTACGTAAAAAGCAGAATATGTGCTGTGGGGAGCAGTGATAGGTGTAGGCTGGACATTCATCGTCTTCACTTGGATCTCTATCTGTGCAGCCATGTGTTGCTGTGAGATGGGCCACCTGGCAGATAACAACCTGGAAGGTCACACATACTAGTAATATCATCTCCCTAAATCCCTGTGCTCTCTCCTCTCCTAGTAGGATGAGGCAGATGACAGAGGAGGTGACCGTATCTCCCTTTGCCACTCCATTAAGTATGATTAAGTGTGTTAGAGCTCATACAATGGAAAGGAGTGGACCATCTGTCCTTCATATTTCATTATTGTATTTGCTATGCCCATCTAGTGAGATAAGACAGACGTCTTGCTTCACCGTTGCATAAGCAAGCCAGTTTCACAGGTTTGTATAATGGGTATGCTGCTCCACCAAGCGGCCTGCTGCCCGTGTCCGCTGGCTGTGTTTTGTTCAGTTCAGGCCCTTTCAGTTCTCACGATCTAGATGGAAATTGCATCCAGCCTTTAAGTACCATCACCGCAGTTCTGGTCTGAAATGAACTAACAAAGAAAGGTAAAAATTTCAATTTTCATCTCATCAACAAATCCTGCTTGAAGGATTCAAAGAGGGAGACAGGAGCACCCAGGGCCAACCTAGGCGATGCTTGGGCCTGGCTCCCCGTTGATAGATTTCTTGTTCCTCATCTGTAAGCAATCCATCCTGCATAAGGAAGCTGGGGGTTTGGGGGGTGAAACCAAACAGCAGTGCTCGAACGGCCTCCATTGCAATGTCTTGTTACAGAAATGTGTGTCTTGACCGGAGGTTTGCATCTTCCATTATTCTGTGTCCTGCAGTCTCTCCCTCATGAATTACCTTGCATCTTGCTTGAAGTGAAACCATTTTAAAATTTATGTCCTGTCCTACTTTTATTTTAAGATCCTCCTTAAAATAGCTTTCCCCCCCCTCTTTGCTGGCTCAGAGATGCATGAACATTTTATGTCTTTCACAACCTTTGAGATGAAGAAAATAATAGGCTAATCTGAATAGTGGTAAAATGAGTGTAGAATAGAGATTTTTATTCTCAGGAGAATGGACAATGATATATATTCCCGTGGCTATTGGTCATCTCCGTAGTTAATTCAATCAGGCAGAGGCTGAACATTTGGTAAAACTCTGTTACATAATTTTGGGGTGTTTTGCTATTTGATGGAGTCTCTCTGAGTGGCCCCATGCTCTGTGACGCCACTTGCTTTTAACTCTTTTTTTAAAAAAAAATCTATCTCTCCATTCAGTGAGTTAAACATAAATATATCAGCTACTCAACACCTGTCTAAAAGGACTGAATTGAAATTAAGAACAAAGACATGATACATCTAACATCATCATGTCTGACTATTAAACGTCACACCAGAGGTGACCCAACAATTGACTGGAAATTGAGCACTGAGCTGTGTCCAACACATTCACAAAGAGTAAAACCCAAGGAAGAAGATGCTGGAACACAAACTGACAATCAGGCAAGAGTCCCCTGTTTGAGAATGTTTCAGAGATAGCTGTTTGGTGCTTCACAGAAGACTAATCTCTTGCTCTTTCTGAGTTGGTAGATCTGGCTTGGAAATGGAAAAGACGAATCACTAAGCATCTCTTTCCCGGGTTACAATGCTGCTACTGATTCAGGCGGTGCTCTTTGAGAACTCCCAAATCAGTCTGTGTGTGGAGAGCAGGTTCCGCCCAGGGGATCTGAGCAGGCTGCTTGCTCTGTGATCTGTGCAGGCAAGGGTTGGATTTTTAGAGATTTCTGAGAGCAGTTCTGGGATCATGTAACAGTGGTTTTTAAACTTGTTCCCTCTTGATCTACTTGACTGACAGCTGTGTGTGGCAGGGAGAATTTACATGAGAGTTCAAATGTCTAGAACCAACTTGCAGTATTGTGGGCTAAGTTAACTAAATATCTTCTCAAAGGGAGATTATACTGAAATACCTGGGCTAATTTATTTATTAAAATATCATTACATTGAGATGAAAGTTGGTATCATTTAGGTGGTTGTCAAAGTAAAACAGGAATGATGAGGGCTAAGCAGGCATCGGGGAAGAGAAAATTCATTCATGGAAAACAAATGGCTTAGAAGGAAACATGTTCACTGGTCACTCCCTGGTTGAACTCAGTTAGCACAAGGCCCAGCCTCACAGCCTCAGGAAATTTCTCGAAAGGTTGCAGCAGCTTCAACAACCAGGTAGCCTGGGGACAAAGTTCATCTTGTAGCAGCATTAAAATGGAAACCACCTAAAAATTCAGAACTGATTTCATATGCTTCATTATGCTTTGCTAACTAGGTTCCCTGAATTTGAAATTTTCTAAATATAAAAATTTTACATCCTACTTTCAGAGTTTCTTCTAGATGAATTTTGTACAGCACAGTAATCACTTCAGACTTTGGGGGCATTGCCTTGTGTTTTTTGTTTGTTTGTTTGTTTGTTTTAAAAGCAGAATTTCATACACTCAAATGGTTTTTCTTATTTCGCCAACAAAAAGACTAACTAACGGTACTGCATTAAGCTGAAGTATTTCTTAAAGACATTCGGAAACCATGAAAGTGCTGGGCTAACTGAAGTGTCAAGGACGCCCATTAATATTCAACCTGTTTTTGTTAAGTTCAAATAGAAAAATAAGCCTGGTTTGTGATACTTTGAAGAGACAGCTCCCACTCAGCCCATGTATCAAAGCCAAATGAAAATGGCAGGAGACATTGGCTACACAGGTTTCAGCAGTCAGATGTCAATGCTTGGTTGCTCATTCCTGCTCCAGGTACATGCGACGACGAGGCTGCAGCTATGAGTGGAATTTTAAAGAGGAAGTTTGAAGATGTTGACGCCTCCTCACCCTGCTCCTCTGTCCGGGAGTCAGATGATGAAGTCTCCAGCAGTGAGAGCGCTGACAGCGGGGATAGTGTCAATCCATCCACCTCTAATCACTTCACCCGTGAGTACCGGAACCAATCAGGAGCCGACTGTCAGGTTCTGGTGAGGGTGGGGTGGGGGGAAACCATTGTGTAGTTCTGGTCATTTTTATTTTTACCTTTATGGCTAGATGTGTGTTTTTAAATTTTTATAATCGGTGAAATAGATCAAGCAAAAACAAGATAGTTCTGAGACATGTTGGTAGGTTCCGTTACGTAAGTAGAATTGGCCATGTTTTATTTGGTCCTTTTAGCCCATTGAGTTGACAAAAGTAGGCGTTTTCTTCCTCCAACTCTTCAAGGAAGCACGCGGTACACCTGGCACAGATGAGAAATACGGAGTAAGGAATAAACTAAAGTTAGGAAAACACCACATCTTCCCATCACTGAGACAATCTGGGAGAAAATGAAAGGCCACATTTTGCGTCTGCTAACGGAAAGTGTTGGCAGTGTTAAGAAACAGTGTGATCGGCCACACACTGAAGTGTGAATGCCTCCAAAGTTCTCCTCAGCTGCAGCCCCTTCCCAGGTATTTCTTCCCTCTTCCCCGGGAGTTACAAAGCCCACCAAGGTGAAAATAAGAATGTATGCCCTGTCTTCCATTCCCTTCTCTGTCGCCCTGTCCCATTAGCCATTCCTGCGAGGTACAGTAATGTGAGGCTCATGGAAGGGGTGGGGAAAATTGTTCAGGCCTTGCAACCTAAGCACAAGAGACTGGCATAGAATGGCTACATGCTTCTAAAACAAGGAGATCTTAGTGTCACAATATCATGATAGATACAGCTGGGCTTTTGTAGAATTATTAGTTGAGATTATAATATAATCACATCATTCCCCCTTCCCGTCCCTCCCTCCCATGAACGTCTCCTTGCTCTCTTTCAAATGCATGGCCTCCTGTTTTGTGAGGCTGCACTTTTTGATTATTGTGTTCATTTATTGTTGGCTTCGTGCATGGTGAGGGAGCACAGCGTATGATGAAGCAGAGGTCAGAGAACAGCTGTGGGAGTTGTTCTCACCTTCTGCCATGTGGGTTCCCGGGACCAAATTCATTTCCCCAAATTCATTGTCACCCTGCACCTTTACCCACTAAGTCATCTTGCTAGCCTCGTTTGTTCTGTTAGCTGATTTTATTAATATATGAATCTCAAACATCTCCTTGTTTTTGGAACTATGAAAACCTCCTTTAGGAAAGAAAAATAACAAATGATTCAAACTTTGAAAACAAGATAATGAAGAACTCAATAAACGTGGAGCCTGAGGCGCATATACTATAATCAGTGGTTTTCCTTTGAGCGAAATGAAGATTTACGATTGTTGCAGTGGAAAAGTGACAAAATAGGAGGACAGTGTTACTGTGATGTGTACCATAACTTAGCACAATTTGTACCTATCATGATGTTATGTGGTGAGCTTGTGCTTGATTAGAAAGATGTACTTTGACCTTTTTGGTTTTATACTATGATGAGGGCAACATCATCAGCATCAAGCAGCACAAGGAGGTGAGTTGCATGAAGGGACTCTGTAAAATGTCAGTAGCATGCACATGCTGCATCAGGGATTCTGAAATGACCTAAGTTACTAGAAACATGGTGACTGTCCTAGTGATGGGGGCTAAGAGAGCCTAAGATTGTGAATTACAAAAGATTTAATAAAGATGCATACTATATCTTCGTATATAAGATATGTAAAGTCATATGTGCCCTCTGGATTGACTAATAATATCAGAGTTCAAATCCAGAAAAAGTCTCAAGTAGGTCCTTTTAGGAGGTGAAATGAGCCAGGAGGTGATAACACACACCTGTAATCCCAGCACTAGGGAGGCAGAGGCAGGAGGATCTCTGAGTTGGAGGCTAGCCTTATTTACAGAGTGAATCAAAGGAAACCAACGCTATACAGAGAAAAACCTGTCTCAAAAAACAAACTAAAGAAAAAGAGGTGAAATTCTACATATATAAGATATTTTTAAAAAAGAAAGCATGAACCAGACCAATGACTTATTGTAACAAACACAAGTAAAAAGAAGACCTAAAGTTGAAAGTCCATTCTAGATATCAAATTATCATTCACAACAATATAGTTGGGTATCTTTTTCCTATGATGCTTTACCTAGGAAAGTATAGAAAATCCTGGCTTTGTATATGCAAGAAATTAATGTAAAGAAAGTAAGTGTTATCAAATGCAAAATGGGAGGATTTTCATAAACATTCATATAATTAGCTATTTTTAAAATGAAGCAATTTAAACTCTCTTCTCATGGCATGATAAAGTACATTCCATAGTGATTAAATTAAAAGACAATGAAATAATGAATTTGGCAGGATTGCTGTATGCTTTGAAGAAATAGGAAAAAATTCACATCGGAACACATTTAACATATTTAATGATATTAAAATATCAAACATATATGCTATAAAATATTGAAATAAAAAGAAATAGCTTATATTAGAAGTATGTGTTTAATAAGGTATAAGATTACTCTCTAGCATGTAGAAACATATGTATAAATACATTTTTGAGGCAGATTCTAAAGTGTTCAAGGCTAGCCTACAATTTTGCTAATGTGGCAGAAGAAAATGGCCTTGAACTCCTGAACCTCTTCCCTTTTCTTTCCAAGTGCCATAATTACAGGCCTGTGTCTCCATACCCTGTCTATGCTATGCTAGGGATTGAACCCAGAGCTTTGTGTATGCTAAGCAAGAACTCTACCAACTATGACACACCCCCTGCCCTCACAAGAGATGCAAGCTAAGGCATGCCTCAGGGATAATTCAGAGTAGAAAATACAATCATATCATACAATAAAGCATTTAGCAGTCGTAGTAATAAAAACTTAGATTAAAATAATACTTATATTTTATTCATATGAAATCATAAAGATTTCACAATAGAAAATGCTAACACCAAAACGCTGACAGAGGCCACTGTGTACGTTCTAGGTGTTCTAGGTGTACATGTTGCTGTTAATGACTGAAATTCAGTATAAGGCCCATTCAAATATTCCTGACTGTATTCAGAGAACATATGTGAAGGGAGAAACATCAAAAGCAACAGAAAATTATGTAAGTAAAAATGTTGGTGGTTATTTGTAGCAAGAGAAAACAGGGGTGGGAAGGATGGCCACGTGTTCAAGAGTGGGAAAACGATTCATTGTATCACAGGAACCCATTAACGAAATTGTTTTCATGGTAGTTAGGAAAGGTTCAGGCTAGGTGAAATGTTTATGAGACAATGTGAAGAAAGGCGGAAGTCAGGCTCTTCTTCCTACTGACAGGGGAAACCTATGCACGCTCAGAAGCAAAGACTGATTCCATGACTCGAAAACTGGCAAACAGTTTGTTTAGCTGAAAGATTAGATTGATGGATAGGTTTTTGTATCCACTAATTTTTATTTCTGTTAGTGTTATATTGCCTTCTCGAGAGAGATTTTTCAAACTTGTGCTGCAAAAAATGATCGATGTATGCAGAACAAAGGGAAGAAATTGCATGAGGAACTCTCTCTCCCTCCCTCTCTCTCTCTGTCTCTCTGTCTCTCTGTCTCTCTGTCTCTCTGTCTCTCTCTCTCTCTCTCTCTCTCTCTCTCTCTCTCTCTCTCTCTCTGTGTGTGTGTGTTGTCTTTTTGCCCAGTTCTTACATCTTAGACCCAGGGACTCATACCTGTGCAGCAAGCATGTTAGCTACTGATCCAGATCCCCATTTTGCCATCAGAGAACATACTCTATGATACCTAAGATGTCCCTGAAAATGTTTGAGCTCATCGTGTATTATTGGCTCTTAGGAAGAAGGGAGTGTCCCAGCTAGTTTACCAAAATGGCATTATAACTGTGTGCTAAATAGAATCTAGCAGCTTCTGATTATTTTTGCTAAGATATTTTTCATTGTGTATGTGTGTGTGCGCACGCGCACGCGTGCCTGTGTGTGTTTGTGTGTGTGTGTACACCACTCATGTTCAAGTGCCTGGGAAGCCAGATAAGGTCTCTGATCACCTGAAGGTGGTTGTGAACTGCCCCAGGTGGGTGTTGTGAACCATCAGTGGGCCCTCTGGAGGAGTTGCCGATTCCCTTAAGTACCAAGCCGTTATTCATTCCAGCCCTAGAAATTCTAAGTTTTAAAGGCAAAGCAGTTACTAATTTGATTACAGTGCTCTTTCCCCATAGCAGTCTGTTTTGCTCCCTGCCTTCATATTATGGGGGAGAGGGGTGGAGGAGATGAGCTGTGAGAACAGAATCAAATGACAAAGCTTCTACCCAAAATACAATAGATAAGAGCATTTCAACCAACGTGAGGACGGTAGTTACCGTTTTTTGATTCCTTCATTTTAAATGGATTTTGATGTTGGGTGTAGTGGCATACACTTTTTATCCAAGTAGTTGGCTGGATCCTGGTGACTTTTAAGCCAGATCGGCCTATATAATGAGTTCCAGGCCAGGCAGAGCTACAGAGTCTCAAAAATAAAAACATAATAGTAATTAAATGTATTTGCTACTCCAGAAATTAGTATGTAGCATTTTAGAAAATATTTTCTTTACTATCTCAACTAGAAGAGAAAAAGTTTATTAGCAATATCTTCTTGATGGGAATCTATGATTATAATCTTATAATCCTTTGGAGATATACTAATGAATCCTGTTCCCCTAACTTGCTTTTCCACCATCAAAAATGAAGACTGCATCCTGTCTTGAAATAAAGAGGAAATTTTTAAGACTGTTAAACCTGTGCAGCAATATGAAACAGTTTGGATTCACACTGAGATTTTGAGAATGTGGTTACCCTTATTTAAATCTCAGCCATCATAGCTTTATCCTTCCATTTTAAACGAGGGGGTGTACTCTGTGCTGTATAATCACTAGCACATTCTACACTAGGGCATTTTGTTGTTTTCACAAATATAGAAATTAATAAGGTTGGTTAGTACATGCCAGCCGCTGTGGTAGTGCAGAATGTCATACTATTCTAAGCCTCCTGTTAAGGCATTCCATTTGTAGCATACCACATTATGATAATAACAGCTTCAAAATGTAAATTA